GCCACCACCTGCACACGCCCATGTTCTTCTTCCTGCTCAACCTGGCCCTCAGCGACCTGGGCTCCATCTGCACCACTGTCCCCAAAGCCATGCACAATTCCCTCTGGGACACCAGGGACATCTCCTACACTGGATGTGCTGCCCAAGTCTTTCTGATTTTCTTCTTCCTGTCAGCAGAGTATTTCCTCCTGACCGTCATGTGCTACGACCGCTATGTGTCCATCTGCAAACCCCTGCACTACGGGACCCTCCTGGGCAGCAGAGGTTCTGTCCACATGGCAGCAGCCGCTTGGGCCAGTGCCTTTCTGTATTCACTGCCACACACAGCCAATACATTTTCCCTGCCCCTCTGCCATGGCAATGCCCTGGGTCAGTTCTTCTGTGAAATCCCACAGATCCTCAATCTCTCAAATCCTATCTCAGAGAACTTGGGCTCCCTGTGTTTTCCATCTGTTTAGCATTTGGTTGTTTTATGTTCATAGTTTTCTCCTATGTGCAGATCTTCAGGGCTGTGCTGAAGATGCCCTCTGAGCAGGGACAGCACAAAGCCTTTTCCACCTGCCTCCCTCACCTGGCAGTGATCTGTCTGTTCCTCAGCACGAGTACATTTTATTATCTCAAGCCCCCCTCCATGTCCTCCCCATCCCTGGATCTGGCCCTGTCAGTTCTGTACTCGGTGGTGCCTCCAGCCCTGAACCCCCTCATCTACAGCCTGAGGAACCAGGAGCTCAAGGCTGCAGTGTGGAGACTGATGACTTGTTGCTTTCAGAAACATTAAACTGCTGGCCAATTTCTGCAAATCACTTGTAATCAAAGTCATCTTTGATCCTTCTTGTTTGTTTCGTTTTGGAGGTCATTTTGCTTTGTTTTAGAATTTTAATATTGTCAAACAAAAAATGTCACGGCTTATGCCACTTCTCATTTTGTTTGTCTTCACTATCCCTGTTCTCAAAGATTGTGTCAATGACGGGCTGTGCTCTCAGTGCCTTTAAATGAACTAAAGGATCTCCCAGCAAAGTTTTCTGCAGAGATGCCCTTTTGTTGCCTTCTCTGGAGCTGCAGCAGCAATGTCTGTGTACAGAGCTGGGGCAGATCAGTGCTGGCCCAGCAGCTGTGCCCAGCAGCAGCAGCACTTGGTGTTGCCAGTGCTGCTGCCGTGGCCCT